TGCCACCCGCCCGGGAGCTGAGTCTGTGAGTGAGCTGTCCCGGGCTGTATGCACCAATATCTTGTGCACTGTGCGTGGCTGCGGCAAGATACTGCCTAACAGTCCTGCACTCAACATTTGCACCTAGTCAAGAGATACCGACTGCAGGATGGCATAGTAAATCCAACAATAAGAAAAGATTTGAAAACTGTCCCGAAATTCTACTGTTGTCCAATCAAAGGATGTCCTCGAGGCCCTGACAGACCATTTTCTCAGTTTTCTCTGGTTAAACAGCACTTTATGAAAATGCATGCAGAAAAGAAGCACACATGCAGTAAATGCAGTAATTCCTATGGCACTGAGTGGGACCTGAAACGACATGAGGAGGATTGCGGCAAGACCTTCCAGTGTACGTGTGGCTGTCCATACGCCAGCAGAACCGCACTGCAGTCTCACATCTACCGAACTGGCCATGAGATCCCTGCAGAACACAGAGACCCACCTGGTAAAAAAAAGAAAAATGGAAAGCTACCTGTAAAGCCAGAAGTTGTTCAGAATCATTGAGTGACCAACCAGCTCCTCACCAAGACATTCATGAACTGGAAGCGTCAGAAGTAAAGCTAGCAGCATCATTTGAAGACTCTTTCCATACTCATGCCAAAAAGCAGAACATCACAGCACCTCCCAGGTGCCCCCAGAAGTTGCTTTTACCAAAGCCCAAGGTGGCTCTGGTTAAACTTCCAGTCATGCAGTTTTCCCCTGTGCCTATCTTTATGCCTACAGCCGACCCCTCTGTCCAGCCTGTGGTGTTAGGTGTGGATCGAGGTTCTGCAGCAGGAGCTGTGCACTTAGTCCCCTTGTCAGTAGGAACCCTGGTCCTCAGCCTGGATTCCCAGGCCTGCTCTATGAAGGAGAGCCTACCTCTTTCAAAGATTATCAGTCCTATTGTTGAGCCAATCAGTACAAGTGTTGGGGAAAAGTCCTTGTGGTCCTTTACAAGAACTAGGAAATACATGTCAGAAGAATAGCATCTCCCCAATCAACGTGCAGACTGATCTGTCCTACACCTCCCCCTACTTGATACCTTCTGCTCAGTGGCTTAGCCCTGATTCTTCTGTCATCGTGTTCTCAGACTGACCTGTCATTTGATTCTCAAGTGTCCCTTCCCGTTAGTGTCCACACCCAGACGTTGGTTCCCAGCTCAAAGGTCACTTTATCCATAGCTGCTCGGACGGATGCATTTATAGATGCCTGTTTCCAGCCAGGTGGGATATCCAGAGAAACCCAAACCAGCAGGATGCGAGATCCCACAGATGACCCTGTGCAGGTGGGCCACACTGGCCTATGTGGGGACATTTTTGAAGGTGTCCATTCATCATATAGCGTTACCTCGGACAACATCATGAGTAGTAGTTTAGTTTCAGAGACAGTAACTAATGGTCTGTTACCTCAGAATGACCATAAGATATTAAGCCAAGTCATCGAAAAGCCTGCACCCTTGTTATACTTCAGTGCCCAGAACAGCATGCTTCCCTCACAGAACATGACAGATAATCAGACCCAAACCATAGATCTACTGAGTCACTTAGAAAACATCTTGTCAAGCAATCTGCCTGGTCAAGCACTAGACAATTGGAGTCTTCTGTCCGACGCAAACCCTGGGCCTGATGCCCAGCTCCCATCAGCCTCAGGCCAGAATTCTGGGATCGATTTCGATATTGAAGAATTCCTTTCAGCCTCAAATATTCAAACTCAGACTGAAGAGAGTGAACTCAGCGGCGTGAGCACTGAGCCAGCCTTGGAGTCTCTGGACATTGAGACCCAGACTGACTTCTTCCTCACAGACCCCTCTGCACAGTCCTATGGGTTCAGAGGAAGTTCAAGCTTTTTAGGCCTTGAGATGTTTGACACCCAGACACAGACAGACTTGAACTTCTTCTTAGACAGTAGTCCTCACCTGCCTCTGGGCAGCATCCTGAAACACTTCAGCTTCTCCATGAGCACTGACTATTCTGACACAGAGACCCAAACTGAAGGCGCCTCCCCGTCTCGACACACACCGGCTCTGGAGAGCAAGGTCCACCTGAACAGCACAGAAACACAGACCATGAGCTCTGGCTTTGAGCCCCTGGGGAACTTGTTCTTCACCAGCAATGAAACTCAGACAGCAATGGGTGACTTCCTTCTAGCTGATTTGGCCTGGAACACAATGGAGTCCCAGTTCAGCTCTGTGGAAACCCAGACGTGCTCGGAGCTGCACGCTGTCTCCAGCTTCTGAAGCTGCAGCCTGGCTCCCCTTTCCTTGTATGTTTAGAAAATGGGGACAAGGACAGCCACACCGACTGGGGATGTAGTTGATAGGGCAGCTGTTTAGGTTCTCTGCAGTTCTTGACGTTTTGTACTTGTGAACACAAGATTGGTGTACAAATGTGAGTGTATTATAAAGTGTAAGGTGTCAAATCTAAAAAGTTTCAGTGTTGTCACGTTTGCTCCTGTATAGCTATTCTTTCCATCTTAAAAAAAAAAAAAAACAAAAAAAAATTCACACTAAAACTTAAACCATTTAACTGAAGCCAAGCTTACCAGACAGTAGGAGCCAAGCTTTGCAACTGCTTTAACCTGAGTATAGCACTTAAATGGCACCTCCACGTAAACATCACCTCCAAAGTTAGACAATGCTTGTGTGGCAGCTAACTGCTGTGCTGCCACCCCTCACCTTGTCACGTGCTTTCTGACTTGGAAACACTAAAGGAAGCCACAGCTGTCTTTAGCTTTTATGACAGTTTTTACATAGTCACTGCTGTCCCTTCTCTCCGGAGCAGTGACTACTGCCAGCTTTGTTGGCCATCCTTTTCTCTCTGTGAAGTTCCTGCCTAACAGCAAGTACTTAGTGTAAGTAGCAGTCCTTCCAGTAAGAGTAAGCCATCTAAACCGTGGAGACAGTGCTGTGGAATCCTGCTGTTTGGTTCATCTCAGGCTTGTCCTGAGTCATGGAAGAGCTTTTCCCTTGCTATTGTTAATCAAAAAGATCTCTGTGACCAAATTTGTGGGACTGCCACATGCCAACAGGCAGCCAGCTGTGAGCACACAGTGACTAGAGGATAGTCACTTCATTTGGGCCCAGAACCCCAGAGCTTCTAACTATAGTTGGGGTTCCTGTGACTCCCCAATCTTGGGCTCAGTTAATTTACTAGAGAGGCTTACAGAACTCAGGGATACAGTTATTGCAAAGGAAAGAGTAGGTGGGAAAGGGGTACAGGGCTTCCATGCCCTCTTCCATGCATAAAATCCACCAAGAATCTACATATTTAGCCTTGTAGAAACCCTCCAAACCCAGTCTTCTGGGGCTAATGGCTGCTTTGTTGTGTGGGTAGAGTTGTTTGAATCATTGCCATTAGTGATCAACTTAACCTTGAGTGCCACCCTCCCCGATGGTTTGGGAAATAGGGATGATGCTGAAGATATCACCACCTTTCAATCATTAACAATGCCTTGGTCTCTCCTGTGACTTGTCCCTATGCTTCCTGGAGGCTACCAGCTATCAGTGGCCTCATAGCATGCCAAAGCAAACCATTTCTTCTAAATATTTAGGGTTTGGGGGGTGTTGTGTGCAAATACATACTTCATCTCGTCACACCCACAAACATCCTTCCCATTCCACAGCACACCCTTGGGGGCTACCCAACTGCTCCCAGTAATGTACTCACAGACCCTCTAGGAATTCAAAAGGGAAAAGTAGGGTGAGAAACAGACATTCCTGCCTAGGCCCCTTTTCAGTACTTTGCACTTCTAAGCTGATAGGAGAAGCATGGCCTTCCATCCACCCCCAGCTTTTTCTTGAAGGAAGCACTTTGGTCTGGCAAGCATATTTGTGTGCCTTGAGACTAGCAATTGTAGACTAGATCCATCTAAAGTATGCTAGTCTAGATTCTGTTGTGATACACTCTTAAGGAGTAAAAGCTGTAGAACATTGGCTTCAATAATCGGGAATGGCTTCTGTATTTTGAGAGAACATGGTCAAACATGCCTTGGGGACTCTGTGCTAAGCACATCATGGATTCATAGATGTTGCCCAACTGTCAGACAAAGCTGAATGAGCATAGCCTGGGGAACCATCCAGTCTACCCTGGGAAGCCCTGTTCTTTCTGTGGTATATGCTTGTGCTGCCAAAGTGAACCCTTAAAATAAAACCTAACGGACTGATGATTCATTAGGTAAATTGGCAGTATTGCTGCCATTGTGCCCCATTCACCTGGTGCAAATGACTCGGGAATGGGCTAATAACAGACCCAGCAGATGAGTTCACCCCAGTAGCTAAACAGTGGTTTTGGTCACAGTTGCCTGTGAATGTGAGTTTCAGAGCAAACATAAAGCCTTAACTTAGATTTTCTCTTGCTATGTTTTGGAATCCTCACTGCCTTAATGTTCAATCATCTATTTAAGTTCTCCAGCTGAAGGAGAAATGCATGTCTGCTTGTGGCTTTTTGTAAATATAAGTGCAGCAATCTATGGCTTTAAGTTTTTGTTTCTGTGGCAATGTCTCTTAAATAGTGATGGAAAAAATGGAGCATGTAAATTGTCCTTTGTGTGCAAGAACTGTCCCAACAAACCGCTAGTCTCTTGGATTCCAAAGGGTGTTTGTTAGCACAAAGTTGGTGATTAAAGAGAAACTGGAAGTAAAAAAGAAAACATTGATCTTTTGACATAAGGCATTGTTTGTACCCCCAAAGGATAAGTGTCACAGAGCAGCTGGGCCTTCAATTTTTCAGCTTTAACAAGTGTCAGATGTTGCTCAGAGTACTCAATGCAATGTGCTCCATGCATGCACAACATTAAAATTTAAAAATAACAATGTAAGTTGGTTTTTGATAAATTTTTACAAAAGAGTAAATTAAACAAAAAAGTTTTTACAACCATTATCTGGATAATTTAGTGGTCAAGAAATGCAAACATGACCACATATTTCTAAGGGAGTAAACAAAAATCCAGTCAGTAGAAGTTAGATTATTTGGTTCTTTTCACCTACAATTATTCCTTCTCTGCTGTTTGTTATGTAGATATCTGTGCTCAGAAATCACTACAGGCATACCTGATGCCTTTCTCTAAACAGTCAGCTGCAGAGCACAGGACAGGTTTGTCATGGGTGCTCTGCCTACTCCACAAAATTACCATTGCATCATGTCTAAAACATGACTTAGTCAAATAGCTCTTTATGCATGTTCATCCTAGGACTCGAACTACAACTAAAAGCTGGGAACGGTCCTGCGTGTACTGGCAAATGCAGGAAGAATTTTTCAGGTTATGGAATATTAATTATTTCACTAAAATCCCTTACTATTCCCAAGATGCAGGGAGAAGAAGCCATGATAATCTATCCGGATCATTTATCCGAGAACTGTATGTCTATGCTCTATGAGAAGGAAGAGAACATTCTCCAACAATCCCAGGACAAAATTGTGAAAAAAGGAATAGCATATTAAATCCATGGGTAACATCATAGGAGACAAACACAGAATGCTCATGGTGAATTATTTATGGACCACCTCATTTTATAGGTAGACATATTACAACATTGCAGCTTAGACAACTGGACAGGTCATGGAGCATGCTCATGCCTCCTGCCAGGAAGGAACCTCATATCCAGGCAATCTGCAAGATGGAGCCTATCATGGTGGAGCAACATCTCAGATGTGTCCCTGAGAAGACAGACTCTTCAGGGGTCTTCTATTTAGAAAAGAAAATCAGTCTTGTTTTCCTATCAGAGGATATCTGGGAATCAACATCCAGGGTCTATACTACAGTTTGTCATACAACACTCTGTGAAAGTTCTGAACAGTCGTGCAGCAGAAACATCTGTCTACGTTTACCTGGCAATGACTAAACTTACTGCATCTATAGGACACTTTAAATGGGAAATGGTCACACAAACACAATAGCCAATTATATATCAAAGAGTGACCAAGGGTGGATCTCTCCTCCCTACAAAATATGTCCCTCAATGAAAATGTAATTTTATTCAGGCATGGTAACACACACCTGAGCCCATGACTTAGGAGGCAGAAGCAGGACAAGCTCTATGCATTCAAGGAAAGCCCTCTCAAAACATACTTGAGAACTGTGAAGGGAGCAACGTGGACATAATAGTACAATTCCCTGATTATCAAACATATAATTCCTGGAGACAAGTTCTTGTTGACTGGATGTGCTCTTTTCTTAAAATTGGCTAGGAGGTGTGTCTATCTGCAGATTCAACAAAACACAGAGATCCAAGGTAGAAGAGATACACTTGAATCCATCCCTCAACTCACAGTCTGCCTCATACCTCATCTGTGATATGGCCAATTAATGCTGCACCTTTTCTACTAAGTTCTTTTTCTGAATGACCAGCATCCCCTCCTTTCATTGGGATGGCAGATTTTTCTCCAGTCTCTGCTGCTCATATATATTGGAATATTGTGTTTTTAGGAGACGTTTGAGTGAGGTATGAGTACACTCTCACAGAAGTGCAAGCACACAGGGAGATTTCCAACTTCTTGATGGTCTTCCAGGCTAACCCAAACACAAGGAATCTGGGAAGAAAGAAAGCCTGTTTCAGAGTAGAAACTGACAAACCTAGTGGTCTCTTCAAGCCATCATTCCCATCCCCAAGCTGTAATGTGGTGCATTACAGCTCTCACATAGGTGAAACCCCTCCAAACATAAAGAGAGAGACAGAGGGATATGGAGAAAGACAGAGAGTCAAAGAGAGACACAGTGAAACACACAGATAGATACAGAACACAAAAAAAGTTGAGGAGAAACATACTAGATGATCATGAGTTTAGACTAAAACAGCATCTCTTTCATAAGAATTCAATGACACTGATCTCTATCCCTCAGGACTAAAATTGCATATGGGAATATGCTCTGCTTGGCCAGATTATGTTGAGCTGCATGGAGAACTTTTTGTAATGAAGTCTCAGATACCACAAAAAAACTTCCAGCCTGTCACAAGCCACTTCCACATGCCTGGAAACCCAAAAGCACCATACTGTAAGTGGCATGAAGGGACAATTGCCAAGGAAACACATGCCTAACACTGCTGGCAAACTCCCACCGAGGATTCTGTCACTGTGAAGCAAGAGTTGAGCATGGGGAAGAGACCAAATTGCGTTGCAGAGAATAGGAGGAAGAAGGACCACAGGCCATCCAACATGGTGACAAAGAATCACTCATTTGACAGTTTAGTAGGCTCTCATCTTTGCAAGCAGCTTTCAATGCCCCCACTGGAATCCCACATGAAGCCGGCAAAGAAAATAAGCCTCAGGCCTTGGAACTCCCTCTCTCATGCCAGTACATACCATGCGGCATTCACAATGACAGTTAAGTGTTTGATATGTTTTTTTCTCTACCTTGCAATTATCACTGATACTATCTTTCAAGGAAAACAGAAGCTGATATATTTGG